CCTATAAGAAGCACTCCCACAGGTCTTTCTTTCCAGCGTGCTTTCATAATAAAGTGCTATGATATAGGTGCGCATAATTCACTATTAAAAAAAAAAACAGACTTTTGGCAGCGACTTTTTATTATCACCAAAAGTCAAAAGTCGCCGCTAAAAGTTTTTAACGATGACTTTTCGCCTCTAAAAAGTCATCGCTATAACAACCATCGCTAATGGTTTTTTGTGGAGATAAAAGTAGACTTTTAGCGGTGACATTAGGTTTTTTGCCTTTAAAACTATTTTTGGTGGCAATAAATGTCGCCAGTAAAAAGACTTCTCTAAAAATTTTTAAAAAAATAATAATAATTTATTTTATGCCACATCACTCTACCACACGTACATCAAGTGATACCACGTCACCTGCCCTATATGTGACAGATGATGCCACGTCACTTGCCATCTTATGCCACATTACAGGCCATGTGTTTGACAAATGATGCCATATCACCTAGCCATCTCATGCCATGTCACATGCCACGTGTGCACATCCTTAAGCCACCTCATATGCCATGCTACCATCTCGTGTCACATCACTTGCCACGTGTGTGTCCCCTCAAGCCACCTCATGCGCTATGCTACCATCTCATACCACATCACCTGCCATGCGTGTGCCTTCTCAAGCCACCTCATGCGCCACGTCACCACCACGCACCACGTCACATATTTGTTGTGAAATATGACAGTCAAGTTTTGAACCTTAACCTCTCCCACCTCCAAGCCTTAAGCCTCTCTTCTTTGCTAGTTAAACTGAAATGTACCTGTAGTTATTATATACAAAATTAAATATATGTTATGTAACTACATACACATATATCAAATAATATATTATTAAAAATATATACATATATTTTATTTTATTTTATTTTCAATTATTAATATGATAAAATGATTTATATGAATATTTAAACTATAATTTTAATAAAATATTATTTTTCACCAATAAATGTTATTTTTGTTAGGAAAATGAACTTAAAATAAATAATTTTTAAATATTAAATAATATTTTTATATACATTGTAATCAATTTTAATTATATTTTTATTTTTTATATGAAAATTATTAAGTATATAATTTATTTATAAATATGTATTATATTATTTTATGTTAAATATCTTTTACTTTTTTTCTTCTCCATATTTTTCTCAAAAATTGATAAACTAAATGATTAAATTTTTATCTTCTCTCAAAATAGCTAAATGTTTCCCCCTCTTTTATTAAAAATATATTTTATCAATAATTTTTCACTATGTTAAAAAATTATTTTAATAAAAAATTAATTTTAACCACATAAATTTTGTTAATAGTCATTTTGAATAATTTTAAAAATGAATACTAATAAATTTTACAATATATAATAATTACAAGAATCTCATACGTGATCAATCTAGTTAACATCTAATCATCTTCAACCTCATAGCAAGGTGAATTTGAATAGTTATTTATATTATTCTTAGTAATAATTAGTTATAAAAATGTTATTAGTTACTTCTTTTTTATAGCAATGGAAACCTAAATATACTAGGAGGTATTACATAAAATCCTTTTCCAAAACCTATTAGAGCTCAGTAGAAAAAATATACACCATATGTATATCAAGCTAAGTATCAAGTATGCAATATACTAAATAGTCTATAATATCATTTGCATATCATGATATTTATACAACTTTAACATCTCAATGCCATTTATGTATTTGATTGTAAATAATAATTTATGTATAACTTAACATAATTATAATTAAAAGTAACAACCCATCAAGGTTTTAATTTATCACATTAAAATACTAGCTTAATAACATAATTCTTAAAAAAATATGAGCTATATATGTCTAAAAAATGATTATGAATAATATAAAATTAGAAATAATTTAATAATTAGACTTAGCACATCTTGACTATTATTTTTTTTGGTTTCACGATTCTATATATAATTTATTTCTAATTCTACACATAAAATAAGAAATTTAATTTCATAAATATATTTTGAATAATTTTATTTCATTTCAAATTTTAAAAAAATACATAAATTTTGTTAAAAAAATTTAAATTATAATTTTATAAATTTTGCTACCAAAAGTAGATTAAATAAATTATTTTTAATTTTAAATTATTTTTTATAAAAATACTTTTGTTGACCACAAATGTTGCCGCCAAAGTGAATTATATAAATTATTTTTTATTTTTAATTATTTTTTATAAAAATATTTTTGGTGACGACATTAAAAATAAATTATATTAATTATTTTTAAATTTTAAATTATTTTTTATAAAAAATTTTTTGTGGCGACATTAAATTATTTTAAATTTTTAAATTATTTTTTATAAAGATATTTTTTGTGGCAACAAATGTCGCCATCAAAAGTATACTTTTAGCAGCAATAAATTATAGTTACCACCAAAAATCTATTTTTAGCAACGACATTTGATTGTTGCCACCAAAATATAGTTTTGGTGGTAACTTTTGGCGGCAACATTAATTTTTCGCCTCCAAAAATGAATTTTTACCCGTGACTTTTTTAGTCGTTGTTAAAAGTCACCATCAAAAATTATATTTTTTGTAGTGTAAGCTCTTTACAACACATAGACCTATCAAAACGTTTCTCACAAAAATGCTCTAATAGGATAACAACATACTAGAGTGCTTTCACTTGGAAGTGTTCCTGGTGGAAAATGAGGGAATTCAAATCCTAGAATTTGCTTATTTGCATTATGCATTTGTAAGGGATACAGGGATCCGTCTATTTTACTACCTGTTTGGTTCCTGTTTTGAAAAATTGTTTTTTGTTTTTTTAAAAATAAAAAACAAATCCAAAAGCTTGTTTGGATAATACCAAAAAAAATAGAGAATTAGCGATAGAACCTGGTGATAATCTGTTGCAAATCCATTATTAAATCAGTGATGGAATTTAACAATGGAACATGCCATCATTAAAATTCTATTATTCCATCACTAATTCGTCATAAATAATTTAGTAATGGAATTTGATGACAAAAAAGCCCATCACTTATTTTTAGGATACCTTATTCTAATTTTTTGATAGAATTTGCTATACAAAAGTTTGTCACAAATCTTTCTCTCATAATTCCATTGCAAACTATTTTTAATTTTATTTATTATTTATAATATATGTTTATATAATTTATTTAATAATTTCTTGTTATAATTTAAATAAATAATTTAAAACAATTTATTATTTTAAATTATTAATAGATTAATAATAATAATAATAATTTAAATTGTATACTTAATTATTTTTATTGTAACAATAAAAAATAAAAAATATTATTAAAGAAAGAATTTAAAAATAAAAATATCATATATTATATGTATACGAATGATATATATATATAATGATAATACAATATTTTTCAATTTAATATCAAATTACTTATAAAAATTTATTTTATAAAATAAAATATAATAGAACCATATAAATAAATTTAATTTTAAATAAATAAGTAAATTTAAATAATTTATTTATTAATATGTTTGTGTAGTTAGATATTATATATTTAATTTATTAATTAAGAATGAAGGTCCCTTTCAACTCAACTAGCAATAAGATAAATATAAAGGCACTAGGGAGTATGGGGTTGTGAGTTCAAACTTGTCTAAGACACAATTAAAAGTAATAATATATGATGTGGTGATGACATGGTGGTGAGGTAATACTGATCCACTAGGTGATGCGGCGGTGGTGAAGTGATACTAATCTACTAGTGATATGACAATGATGTTTTGGTGAGTCTAAAAAATTTGCTGTGAAATCAGCAATGGGATAAGTTTGTAAAAGGCTTAAGAGGGGGTAAATTGAGAAAATTCAAATTTTGATAGATAATGAGTAAATTAAATGAGATAGAAAAGGAATGATATCGTCAAAAAGTGAAGAGAGAGAAGCTTACATGAGTATTTACTCTGGTTAAACTCTAATCATTTGAGGCCATGTCCATTCCCTAAATTATAATTGAGATTTTTCACCACTTGCTATACCGAGATTAATCCAAACTCTTGGTTGCTCTAATACAATCTCAGTCTAGAGGTTTATATCACTCCCTCTTATAAAGGTGATAATATAACCCACTTAAATTTTTTGATGAGTTTAAGTCCTCTATTTCAATAATAAAAAATAAGGATGAAGTAACTGAGTTAGCTACCATTTAACGGTAAAGGATAAATTAACATTGTGCCAAATTCAAGTTTAGGATACTGAATGGTTGTGAAACACAATTTAAGTGCAAAAATAAACTTTAATCCTTTGAAGTAATATAGCAATTCTTTTCCCTTTTGGGTTTTAATCGACTTTTACTAAGAATGTACTATTTAAGGATGGTCCACAAACTTTGGAACCACACCATGGAGTCCAAGTATTTCGTTAGGGTGGGGCCCAAAAGATGGCCCAAAATATGATTAACTGGTCCTCACCTTCTCTCTTGTCGTCGCAGCCGAAACCTATCGTGAGTGGTTGAGAAGAAATTGTAGTGAAAATTTTATTTAAAAAAAGTTTCTTGAAATTTGAAAGGAACCTTTTTATGATTTGTTATTGACGTGATTCCCCGTAAATTAAATTAAAAAATTGCTCACATTATTTATAATTTACGGGATTTCTTTTAAACTTTTTTTTTCCATGTGTAGATGAATTTTAACCAACATTCAATATGAAAATAATAATTAATAATTAATAAATATTATTTTATGATATATTTGTAAATTATTTTATTTTTTAAATACGCTGTATAAATATTTTTTCTTATTCTTTTTCATCATGAAATATTGATTTCATGTTTTCATAAACAAAAAATGCATATACATGTTGATCCTGGGGAAAATATCTAGCTGAATGATTTAAATATTATTAGTCAAATAATATTTCTATTTTTTAAAAATTGTAGACCATTCATATATGATCGACGCTATCCAAATGGTCAGGATATTTAATGAACATGGCCGAATTGACATCCAGGGCTGGAATCCCATCTAATGAGCATTTCCCCCTCTTTATATACTTCCTCTCAGTTCCTCTTTATTATCATTGATCCATATCACTTGCAATTTCTCCGAGGATGAAGTTTTTACCCCTACTCATCGTTGTATATCTTATTTCTTAATAACCTTTCCTGTTATCATCTTTTTGGGTCCTATTAAACTGATTTAACTACATATTGATATGTTCCAAATGCAATAATTTCAGGTTGTATTGGTGGCAACACATGCTGCTTCACCTCCCGAACTTTATTGGAAGTCCATGCTTCCCGCCACTTCCATGCCGAAATTCATCACAGAGCTCCTCCACCCAGCAGGTTACTATTACATATATATATATATATATATGTATATATATTTTGGGACATTGTTATTCATGGCTTGTATGTAGGATGAATTTTATAATTATTCATTACGTTCCTTTAATAAGTTCTTGAAGTTATTGTTGGCAAGGCAGGAGGTGACACAACCATACATGTTAGGCATAACATCACTTTTGGTAATCAAAATTACGCTTATGCTGCTGTCTCCGACACCGAATTCAATAATATCCCAAACACAACTCTCTTCTTCTTGGAAAAGGACATGAAGCCTGGTCACAGAATGAACTTTCAATTCATGCAGACCTCCAACCAGTCCTTCTTCCTGCCTCGTGAAGTCGTGAAATCTGTTTCTTTTTCTTCAGGCAACGTACGTAAGTATAATAGAAAGGATTCATCATTAAACCACGTGGCTGTGTGAATCTTTATCGCACATGTAATTGACGTAATTACATGATTCATTTGTAGCAGATGGCTCAGATACTGAAAGAGTTTGATGTGAAAGCTGGGTCAACAGAAGCCAAGGTTTTGAAGGAAACGGTAGAATTGTGTGAGAAGCCAGGTGTTAAAGGAGAGGAGAAGTATTGTGCGACGTCTTTGGAATCCATGGTTGATTTTATCACTTTGAAGCTTGGGAAGAACGTGGAAGCTTTTTCTACGGAGGTGAACAAGGGCACAAAGAAGCAAGAATACACAATAAAGCAAGGAGTGAAGAAGGTAGGAGAGGCAAAAGTGGTAGTGTGCCACAAGCTAAACTACATCTGTGCCTTGTTTTATTGTCACAAAACAGAGACCACAATTGCGTATACGGTGCCTTTGGTCGGGGCTGACGGGACTAAAGTGAAAGCACTGTCTCTCTGTCACACAGACACATCAGGGTGGAACCCTAAGCATTTGGCCTTCCAAGTGCTAAAAGTGAAGCCGGGGAGTGTTCCTGTGTGTCACTTCCTTTCTCAAGACAACGTTGTGTGGGTTCTCTGCCATAAGTAATTCAATGATCTTGCTAGAAAGAAATGAATAGAGTAGTGGCTAAGAACTCTTATGTCCCTCCTCACTATAAGATATCTTTATGCCCATAACATATAATAGCTCTATGCATATATATTTGCACATGGCCTTTTTTTGTTTTGTTTGTGGTTCCTAATATAAAACTACTCCCATCGGTCACCTTAAATTAGTTATTTCATGTAAAATTTTAAAATTACCCTCGATATAAGCCTTTAATTATAGGGGTTTGCTCAAAAAAGATATGTGTCTTTATCATTCATATAATTGATGTAATTATAATTCATTTGTAGCATATGCCTAAGATATTGAATGAGCATTCTCTCTCGAAGAAATTCTATATAGACCCCGGCTAGTACATCATATCATTCATGCCTCATCTAGTAAAAACATGTATGGCTGTTACTATAAATTGATTTTAGTTATTATTAATTATAGTATAAGAAGAAAAGGCAATGAATTAAATAATCAATCTATTCTAAAAATAAAGTAGCTAAAAATAATGACATGTCATAATTTATTTGGTTGAATTGGTGCAATTTGAGTGGAAAGAATATGAATGATACAGTGCACTAGATTCATGCAAGATTTCCTCTATCGTGTGCTACACTTTCTTTCGCGAACATCGTCCCTTCCTTGGGTTCCCCAACAAGACTAAGCACAATTTTCTGCCGTATGTTTGACTACACCTGAATAAGAGCGAGTAGCATATCTCATGTTTGTGTTATAATCGTCTGACGTAGGGTATCAGTGCCCGAAACCTAACCCCTTTGGATATATGTTAAAAAAAATTAATTATAAAAATATTGATTAATATAATAATTAATTTTAAATATAATTAATTATGTTATGTAATATAATTGATTTATAAAATTATTTAATAAGATTAATTTTAAGAATAATTGAAGAGTAAAATTAAAAATCATGTAAATTATGGTTTTGTGAAAATAATAATATATCCAAACACCCTATATTTGGACACGACTTTTGTGGCAGAAAAACTCTTGAAAACAATGTGTTTGGACACCATTTGGACCAAAATTTCATCGCTGCCTCGAACATCCTTTTATTTTTTTTTTGGGCCAGCTGATTCCAACACCTCACTCAAACAATAATTTTACAAAAATCTCACTTTGACTTTTCCAACACACTGTTAGTCTTTCACAATCATGTTTGGGGAGACTAGCACCCAACCTTTTTAATACTCTAGCACTTATCCTCCCAATTTATTTTTTCAACCTCGCATCACTTCGTCACAGGCCCACTTTTGTCTTGGCCTGTGCTTTACTCCACACACAAAGACAACCCAATATATGGCAAAGAATCTCTCGAGTTGTCATCACATGATGGTATTGTTGAATTAAATGCTTAAATAAAAATATTTTATTTGAGTTATATGCTATTACTTTTTTAAATGATTATTTTAGTTAAATTTATGTTTATCCTATTTATATTTCTTTCTTTTATCGCTTTTAATTTTATTTTGAATGCTATTCACTGAAAAATATTTTGGCATCAAAAAATAGTTAGACCTATATCATCAATTGATAATTGGGAGCTTTATTACTAAATTGAAGTGGATGAATTTTTTTGGATCAAACAAATATCAACTTGATCTAAATGTGAGTTTGAATATTATTTTATAGTCTACTTTATGTGCTCTTTATTGATTATAGATAGAATCTTGACCTATTGCATATGTTGATTGTTTGTTATTAAGAAGCGGAGCTCCTTTTTGTTAAATTGTTATAAATTTGTTATTCTTTGGGAGGTTTTGTAGAATTTTTAAAAGAGTATATGATTCTTTTGTGTAGTAAAAAATGGTAATAATTTCTAAGCTTCTTATTAACAAGGTCAAAGTATTAATTTGGAAGTTTTTTAAATTAAGGATTATAGAATATGAATTTATACACGTATTTTGTGCCAGTCGCACCTTATTTTTGGAGTGTGACATTTATAGTAAGACTCTCTTAATTTTTTACTTACTCTAATAATGCCCCAAATTAACCTACCATGTAAACCAACACATCTTTTGTCATTTTGATTTCCCTACTTAATATAAGCAAGCAAAATTAATGTTCAAGTTCTTCAAATATTCTTTAAATATTTCATTAACCCCTTAAATTATCATTAAACCCTTCAACAATTTCTATCAGTAATCAATAACACTAAACAACATTCAACGTCAACCATTAGCACAACTTTTATTTCAAGCTTAACAAAAATTTTAATTATCATTTAGTCTAACAATTTCTCTTTAGGTGCTGCTCAATTTCAATAGGTAGACTAACTTTATAATTTATATGAAGGCATATACTTCCTCAAGTAGCATATATAATTCCTCTAAATTCTAATATGAAAATTAAATAATCTTATTCTCACCAACTTCTTCTTTCAAGCATTCCTATAAGTACTATAAGAACATTCACCATTAACTACATTATATGACAAACATTCAAGCAAAATCAAGAATTTCCAACATCTAATTTTCTTCACCAAATTTCAGCTCAGCATATAATAAAATAGTATTTAACATTATTCCAAACAACACCCAAATCTTCCTGCAAACTCTATGGCAGAAACATTGACAAGGCACATCTTCGGTTATTAAAGGAAGAAGGAAGAACCAATGTCTTACGTCAACCAAAGCACGGTGGTAGCTGCCACACCATAGCTCACGGACCACACCAAAGAAGGGAGGAGAAGTTTCAACCCGGCTCTTCAACTAGGAGGAAGAGAAACAGAAATTTCATGTCAGATAAAGGAAGGATTTGAGCTTACTATGTACACACACGGACGTCCAACAGCTGACGAAGAGAAAAAGATTGAAAGTTGAACACGCACGCGTACCTACCTCTGTCGACCATGAAACAGCGAAGAAATAGAGAAGAGATTCAGCTACACCAGTTGACAGAAACGAACGGACAGCAGCGGGAAATGAGAGGACGAATTGCCGGTGGTGAGGAGACAAGCACACCAACGACGAGATTGAAGCCTGTGCGACGGGAAAGGAGAAGAAAAATAGAGACAAATGCGAACGCTCTCTCTCACTTTGTTCTGCAACTCTTGGCCGACAAAGAAGAAAGGAGGGTGAAATAATAAGCTTATTGGGAAATTACAAAACAAGACCAAAATTTGTTAGAAAAATTACAAAACAAGACCCCATTAGATTTTATCATAATATTTTTATAACAAGAAGCAAGGGGGACTTTAGTAATTTCCCTATCACAGTCCAAAAGTAGATATGACCGTTGCATGACAGATACACAAATATACATCCTTTAAACCTTAATTTTGGAAACTCTAATTTAATATTTTAAATTGTTTGAAATAGGATTGGACAATAGCTATAACTTTTTCATACAAATAAAAAGATTTCAAAACTTTCTTTAAAAATTTTGGCAAAACTACCCCTAAAAATAAGATTTCACAAAGGTTCTACAACAATAACATCACAACAAAATAACAATAGAGTTCAGCACCTACTAGCAGACCAATAATATAGATAGTAAACAAGAATTTTAAGTATAGTTTATGTGGATCACCTAAAATAAAATTCACAAAATATAATATATAAATTCAAGATTTACAATGGATGTAGATTAACCAGGGTAACTTTCCAACTTCAACTCGGAATTAAACCCCTTAAGGATCATCTAAAGGTGTAAGATCAGCTACATTATCTGAAACCAAAAATTTTCAGTGAATAATGTTCCGATTTACAGTTGATGGAAATAATAAAAAGTACATTAATGAGTCTTTTATAAGCTTAGTGAAATAATCAATTGAAAATAATATACGTATATACCTCATACATATATATCAACAATTATGTAAATGTAAAAATCATGAATGTATGAATTCAATTACCATTTAGTAGAAATTCAAGTGTTATTTTAAATATCAACATATGTTTAAACACTTCAGGAATGATTCAGCTTAATATAAAATCCATATATGGTAAAAATAACAGTATGCTTTAAAAGGTCAAATTTTAAGAAAGCTTAAGTTTCAATATTCACTCTTTAGTAGGATTTGATCAGAATGATTAATAAATATAGATACACAGTTTACAAAGGTAGATAACTAATAAGTGTGGATATACAGTCTACGAGAGTAAGTAACCAAGCGTGACAGAAGGCCATGAAACTGAAGATGAACGTTTCCATAATAATTTCAAAATTTAAAGAAGCCGTTTGGATTAGGAAGTTCATTGTTGAACTAGGAGTGGTGCCTAGCATCTTATATCCAATAAACATATTTTGTGATAATAGTGGTGCAATTGCATAGAACAAGGAGCCAAGGTCACACCAAAAGACCAAGCATATACTTAGGCCTTTTCACCTTATCAGAGAGATCAATGATCGAGGTGATATAAAAATATGTAAAGTAGCAAGAGAAGACAATGTTGTTGATCCTTTTACAAAGCCTCTTGCATAGGTAAAGCATGAGCATCATGTTAGGACAATGAAAATTAGACAAATTAATGATTCTACCTAGTGTAAGTGGGAGGATGTTAGAAATTATGCCCTAAAGCTAATCATTGTACTATGCACATTGTTATTTAATGAATTTTTATTTTGTTATCATATCGATTGCATGGTCATTATGATAACTGTATCCTTGGACAAATTATAATGATTATCGTAGATGTCCCTAGTTAGTCATCTATAAGGGATCATTGATAAAACAAGACTTGTATGACTTTGATTAATTATAGAGATATAAATCAAAGTCGTAAGCACTTGAAAGAATATAAGGTGTTGGATTGACCCACTATGAGAAAGTTGTATGGTACAAGTCACAAGTTTATCTCACATATAATCATATCACTAAGCCCTTTGACTTGAGATCATCATAGAGTCCTACATGATGATCACTAAACTTTGACTTAGTCAAAAGTCACCTTTGACCGAGTAATCATAAAAGCTATGATTGAGTTTAGTGATATTCATACAAAGAAATATGAGCGGTCATGATGAAATTTATCCCTTATGTGAATTAAAAGATGTTACTGGGGCCCTCGATGAGTAAAACTGAGAAAATATATAGCCATACTATAGCGAAAAGGGTTTTCCATTATTATGTCAATTTACTAAGAGATCGA